CACGGCTCAGGGTTTAGGGTTTAGGTTTTTAGGGTTCAGGGTTTGGTCAGCATTCAGGGTTTAGGGGAGCTATAGAGCAGGTCCACACAAAGAAAGGCACTGTTTTGCTGCAGAATGTGGCTCCGGCCCTTTTGGGCACACACGAGCACTCGAGGGTCCATTTTCCGGTCCGAGCTGAAACGTGTTGGGTTTAGGGCCTTGATCGAACTATGTATTATTATCGACAGTACTGTCAATAGAGAACTTTTTTAAGGAATACTTGTACACAGACATGCACTTATCTGTAAACGGCTGTAACTACGTACCATAATCACCGTTTGCTGCCACGTAAGACTAGAGAATGTCATGTGCTTACATTCCCGACAAGGCGCGTTATGCCCTTGAACGTGTGAAGGCTTAAACTGAGCGTTCGGGCTTAAGATTTAGAGTTTAGGGTTTAGTTAGGGTTTAGGGCTTAGGGTTTGGGGTTTAGGGCTTAGGGTCTAGGGTTTAGGGTTTAGGGCTTAGGATTTAGGGCCTAGAACGTACGGCCCACCCCGTATAAGCCCCGAACACCACACTCGATATGCTGGGGTGTAGAAATTCCTGTAGATTCGTAACCTTCTGGGCACCGGTCTGCAGCAAGTCTAGAATCGGGTAATGGTTCAAGTAGGTATTTAGCCACAAAACCTAAACCCCAAACCCCTAAACCCTAAACCCCAAACCCCTAAACCCCTAAACCCCTAAACCCTAAACCCCTAAACCCTAAATATGGTTCCAGGTAGACTGAACCTGGCTTGGGAATTCGTGTGTTACAATGTTCGGACGATTTGGGGTTGCGTTCGAGGCGATGATGCAGAACCCAACTTCGCCTCATGCGAAGGTTTAGGGTTTAGGGCTTTAGGGTTTAAGGTTTAGGGTTTAAGGGTTTAGGGTCTGAGGGTTCAGGGCGTAAGGTTTAGGGTTTAGGGTTTCTTCAGAAGAGGGGTGCAGGGGTTGCGAGGCTTTCTTGAGGCTGTCTGCTGCTTCCTCGTTTCTATGGTGCATGAGCTTGTATCGCAAGGCTTAGTTTAGACGGGCCTGAAAAATTAGAACACGTTTGGGGTGAATCGTAGTACGATTTCCCCAGACCCCAAGAGAAATCCTAAACCTCACGCCCTAAATCAACCCTCTTAACCCCAAACCAAACCCAAAAAACCCTAAACCCCAGACCCCTCACCC